GATGGTCTTAATGATTGCTGCAAGCGCGATGGGGAAGGTAATTGTTCTTTTAATTCACATTAGTGTGTTACGTAATGCATTAATTCAATGTGTTATTATTACTCACATGGATTGTCTTCATTATAAGGACTTATTCTAGTAAGCTGTATTGTTGTCAATCTACTGTCTATTATGCCATCTCCCCTGACACGGCACATCCAATGTCTACGCTTCCGAGTTCTTTATCACCTGTCAACGTAGTTGAAGATTGAACGATCAATTCATGATTGTTTGCTCAAACCCAACTTCCCTATATTTTCGTGGCGGCATCAATACACCAGTCATCGTCTCATCGGTCGCTTTTCAGAAAGAAGATCAAAAACCGTCAGAAGTAATATCGTGATTTATTATTGTAATATTTGTTCATAGACCTTAGTTATTATGCTGCTCATATGTTGGTGTTAGAATAAAGAATTCTCAAGTCGTCAATCGGTGTTTTGGTTTTTGCGTCCGTTAGTATAAAGCGTTTCTGAAAGGCTTCGAGGGACAGCGAGAGGCCCAGCGTAGCAAGAGCTGGGCATTAACGGTTAACGAGACGTGACTGACATCCCCAGTAATGGAGATAAATTTGTTCTCAAATTTCCATTTACATGAAGCAGTGCAGAAGTAGTATATTGGTTGAATGTCTGGACTGCATTATATAGCATTACTATCCTCAACACAATACGTCGTGCACATTACAATATTTTGAGAATCTCTCTAGGCTGTTAACGGTGCGCATAATTGTTTAGATTTTGGACCTATATACTTTATATTTGTTGATTAAAGTTTACTGAACATGCAAATGTAATGTCTGTAGGATTCACAAAACCATGTTTACTAGGAATTACTGAGACTGGAATAATTTATGAGTTACGCATTTACAAAATGGTTTCTTTAAAGCGAACGTAACTTGCGTGAAATTAATCTGCAAGTAATCTTGATGAGAAAATGACGCCTTACCAGTACGGATGTTTCAGAGATTGTTTTTGAGTTTGTGTGTGATCTTCTAATACTGCAAAGCGTATCATGTCTGTTTATAAATATGGCGTCAATATAAAAAGCATCTGTGGACAGTGGATATTTTTATTTGCATGAGAATTTTACTGAATAATAATGACAGCTTTATTCCAAACGGTATTTGTGGTACAGGTATGGAATTTTCAGAGTGCATTACAATAATGCATCTAATTACCTCATAAATTTTACAAGATTTTAAAGTCAAAAAGCAGCAACCAAAGAAAAGATAAATAAAAATAAAAAGATCAGCATTGCGTTTACATTTTAAACAATGCACCACAGGATATGAAATATAAAATTAGTGTGTAATAGAAGATAAGAACAACAATATAATAGTAACGAAGAAAGGAACCAAAAAACTAATGGGACTGTTTGTTAGAGTGCCGCAGTAAGTTTATTGTGTCATATCTAACGGATTTCCCATCACATAACAGCTGTGCCAGATATGGTTTTGTGGAGTTTTGTACTTGCTAGTCCTAGCATATAGCCTCCTATAGCTGCTTCTAGTCCTACCAGATGAAGTGCAAGGAGAGAGTTGCGTATAGAGGGGATGCCCCGGGTCTGACAATATTGTATTCGCTAGTTTCTTGCATGACATTATATGTCTATCTACAAGAGTGTTAACCAGTTGCTTTAAGGATATCCCACTTGCCTTACTAACGGCTCTTAGTGCCCTTCTCAGCCAAGCAAAGCCTTTCTTAAGTAGTCCAGGAAAGATATTATTAGGATCGATGTATCTACTTTGTATAGTAATATGTAAAACTATCTTTCATAGCTCCACGTTGTGATAGTCCTTGATCTGCTTTATTTTTTAGGTATATGGAGGTTGTCGAATATGAAATAAGCGAAAATGTCAATCGGTCAAGTTAACTCTAAAACCCTTCATCAGAATTTTCTTTTGTAGATTAATGAAATGTTTAAAACATTGGTAATTTCTGCTCCTTCTGGACTTCAGTGAGCCGTTTTACTATCGGCTTTTGTGATACGTGAGGTTGAATTGGTGCATATTAGGCCTAGTTAGTGGAACAGAGACTTACTGTAGTGTTGTAAGACCGTCACTTTAGTCATTAGCAGGATTTTAATCCTGTTTCTACGCAATGACACACTGTAAAAACTTAGCTGGATTTAGCAAGTCAAATAATAATTTTGTATTGTTTGATACCCTGGAGTTGCCTTATTTATCCAGTCGCTCGTGTGTATACTGGAAACGCCAAGTCTGTTCCCGGATGGGTTGTTGAAGGATCAGTCAGAAATTGTCTACAACAATTAGGACTGAGATGATCAATGTATGTCTTCCTTCAAAATGACCCCATTTCTTCAAGCAAATTCATTGCTTTTCTTAATATTCCATTTCGAACGTTTTAAAAGCATTCCATGCTCCCAGGATAACGACATATGTCTACTAGGCACCGCTGACTATGAAGATTCGTGACTTTAACCTGCCTAAAAACCGTTTACTTATTGGGTGTGGAAGCATGGATTACTTTTAAGGAAGATGCGGGATTTGACCAAAGGAACAAAGCGACAAAAATCGTCTAACACGGAGTTGTATATGGAACTTTTTAGAGGATGAGGATATTGACGTTTACGAATAGTATGAAGTATACTAACGCAAGATCTAATGCACACAACGTCTATAGTTTTCGTTCCGCGTAGACCAAAGGCAAAGCAAAACACTAGAGTTGGTCGTCCAGATTACGAGATATATTTCGGGACCAAATATGAGGGAAAGATGATTGCTTAGCCTAGCTAGCAATCGTGCACGAACGAATGAACATGACACGACGGAGTACCAAATGGTGTGGATGCTCGGCTGCAAGCCTTCAGCTTAACAGTTTGACTTAAACAATGAGGGTTGGCATCTAATGTTCAAAGATGAGTGCTTTGGCCAATAATTGTTGGGAATTATTTACGACTGCAACTTAAATATCGAAGACGCTTAAGACTGTCCCATTTAGCTAACACATCAAGCGGCTGTAACAAAGCTCTCAGTTTTGAAGTTATTCGTTTACCACCAGCCATTCTATTTATCTACAGGGGTGCATGGATTCGGAGGCCAGATATTTGTATTCGAGAAAAAATGTAAAACAGTGCTGCACGAATCACAGAATTTTCTAATGCGCGTAAAGGAGCAAAGCAGAACGTAGATTGTAGTTTTAGTATTTGCACTTATTTGTAACCAAGTATGAATGTTTTCTTAAACACACTATCCATCTGTCTATCCTGAAAGGTTACTGTACACGGCGAACATAATTTTTAACATATATGACAACGTGTTGCTCTGATTTGACTAGTAAATTAGTTTTAACTCTTCATTTTAACTTTTTAACTGGTAACGGCAACAGCAATAAACTGTTGTGGTTAGGGGTGCCAATTATTAAGCATTTAGGTTCATTGTATTAAGATGTATGGCGGGTTATTTAATTAGGAATTCCTGTCATATTCTCAGAATGCGTTGACGCGTGGGTGACTCTAAAGAATAGCGGCCCAAACCGAAACGACCTTTTAACGCAAAAATGACCTTGACAGGGACAACTTCGGCCAATGAAAAGGCTCAAAAAGGAAGGCGCATAATTGTAAAAAACGGTATATATAGAAGTAATGCAATCATAATAAACAGTTGCAAAGGATGGCGCTCGCGTATATGTCTTAAAAAAACCTCCCAGTTTCTCATGGGAGTCTTCATAGTCCTATGAAACCAGTTTCGGTACATAAATTCATCCAGGTAACTGCAAATCATGGATTTCTCGTCCCCGGCAACACCAAACGCTTAATAATAGGCACTTATACTGCTGCACTGCGACTGGGAATCGCTTCTATATACCCTTTGCGCAGTGTCGTGTCGTAAATACCCAGTATCCACTACTGGTTTGCTTGTAATCTCCCACGGTTGTATTTCCTTTTTATAAGTACAGTCTCATCGATATGGACTATGCTGCCGACTCCTCCGAGAACTTGAGTCAGGGTGTTCATTTTTCAGGAGGAAACATCTCTGCAGTAGTTGTACCATTTGACTGCTGACACCTCTGAATTTTCTGTTTCATAAGCTGTAGCTGTGACTGCTCTTTTCAGGACCCAGAAGTTACAGATAATTACAATTTTCGTCAAAGGTAGTTTGGACCTTGAGAGAAAAGTTCCTAAGGGATCTGTAAACTAAAAAACAACGACAAACCATCTCGAACCGATTTCCTCCTTCATACTCAATACATCTGTATACAAAGCCATCAATGGCCTCTGCTTATATTTGTATATGCATACCTCCTCCGCACTGGCAAATTTTCGACAAAGCTATGAGTCCGTTATCCAAACAGTAATCGAAAACATCCATGATTACTTCCGAAAATGATACAGTCAGCTGATTCCTTGCTCAAGGTCACTTTTTGGTTCGAAGGTCGTTTCGGTTTGGGCCGCTATTCTTTAGAGTCACCGACGCGTGGACAGAAGGTACTGAAAGCATAGATGAATAACTTGCGGAAAATAACTTTAGAACTCATATAATTGTTCAGTGTGAAGATTTCACCATCTGGCTTTTTTCGCCTCCCAAATGACAATGTGATGTTCATGATAGCTACGACGGTATTAGAAGTTTCGGTGCATTAATTATGTCCATAAGAAAGAGAGGCATATCTGGTGAATATATGATAAAATGGGGAATATAGTTGCAGTAGAAAGGAGGAATAAAGAAATGAAGGCACATCTGCACCTCTACCTCCTTATTTCCATCTTATCACTTCACTGGCCTCATATTCTCCACTTTAAGATGATTTTCGGGCTTTTAGCTGTTCAGAATTTTGTTGACGTCCTTAATAACCGTTCGGAAACCATCGAAACAATTTTTAAAGGAGAACTCATACGCACAGTTCTTTGCATGGCATCACTCTATATGGGTCCTGCACCTGATGAAGCATAGTTAATTTTAAGTGATCGTAGAGAAGGATTTTTGTTTATTCAAACATGCATGTCTGACAGCGAGGGATATACTGACATATTCTTGAAGATATTTTTCATAATGTTAGACAAAGAGAATTTATCTTCAATAAAAATGTACTTTTCGTGATGCAAAGTCAGTGGCTTTTTCAATATTCTAATAAACTCACGAAGATTGGAGATGAGTGAAGGTCGGTAGCGGCGCTTTGTTTGTAATTGTTTTCAAAAATCCGTTTTGATGTTGTATCATTTCAGTCGCGTAACTCTGCGTATTCACTCATGTCAAACTATTTCACCGTTGCATTTCAAAATTTTGTAATAGATGTATGAACCCGGGACTTTGTACAAATCTCCTTCTTTCTTTTTATGCACAAATTTTGTCGGAGGATCAGTCATTTTCAATGAATGCTGACATTTTTGTAAGATAAACATGAAGTTCATTCCTTCAAAAATGCTTGTGATCCGAAAGGCAAATTCCATATTTATTTCGGCTGTCGCGCTGCTGTTCATCGCTTACTGGCTTCGTGATATTTTACGCAATGACCTACCTCTTGATATAAGACAGGTGATTATTTTTGATTACTTTTATAGTCTTGTAGGTAATAAGCTCATTATCACATGTGGAGTATTCTCATCGACCTCTTCCCCAAAGGAGTCCAGGACCTAAAGTTTTAGTTGGATTTGGAGGATGTGTAGACTTGAGAGTCCGCGCACTTTCTCTTTTTGAAAGGATGAAGTTGTCTGGATTCGCAAACAAAACTAATGTCCCCACAACGCATCAAAGAATTGGTAGTATACAGGATTTTATGGCTGAATTTTACTCCTCTTTCATTCTTGGTGCGGCTGTTGAGTAAGTGAAATAGTGAACATTATTAAATATCATTTTGATCCCTTGTTGTCCATACTAACGTGATATTTTTATCCTTCACCTAAGTGTCGGTCTATCTACGATGCGAATATGAATTTTCGGGACTACAGATTTTTCTATGAATGTATTATGTTGGTGATGGGTTAATGCGTTCATGGCCTATCTGGACCCATAATTCATAGGACGAGTTCTTCCTTATGACATCCTTACTCCAGTGTCTATTGTTGAGTATAGAATTTCTCATCTTGTGGTGGTTCGCTGACGATAAGCTTCAGTTTTCTATGTTGTGGTTCATATACTTGGACTATGTAGATTGCTAAAGTAATATAATATACAGGATGAGTCATTTAAAACTAATATAGTGACACAGTTTAAAGTTTTAATGTCATTTGGTCTGTGGAAAATGAATAAACTCACTGTATGTCTAGAATCTGAAGTGTCCTCGAAGAAAACCTTTCTATGTTGAATACCTTAGCACCATTCGCACCGTAGATCATTACACTGAAGTCCACAGGTCTGTATCAGCGGTCAGCAAATTTCATTTTTTTTTCTACCATTAGCTCCGGTTCTTCAGTTCTGATATATAGTGTAAATACTTTAAGCAAAGGAAAAGCAAACTGTTGCCGGGATTTCAGCCATTTGAAAATATGTGGAAAACACTGCACTTCCACTTGGTCTAGGTGCAGGATTGTACTTCTTATTCGGAATTACAAATAACTTCAACTGTAGTAGGGTTGACTTGATTGTATGGTCTGATTAACTTACCAGCCTATCTTTCCAGGTTCTACTGTTTTGATGGGAATACTGGAGATTTCCACCTTTAGCCGTCATTTTTTCATATCTACAACCAAAAAACATTGTGTTGACCTAGTACTAAAATATATACTATGAATAACAGTGTCACTGTCTTCAAGTAGGCGCGCTCATAAACTTCTGTCGTGCCTCTACCTTAGTATGACTTAGTCCGCTTTCCCACACCCCAAAAGCGGCATTTTAGGTTAAGATATGCCACTCAGTCACAAGATATTTTATGGTTCGCTGGTTCTGTATGCTCATTTCTAAGTGTCAGTTTTCATCTCGTAAAATATAACCTTTTCTTTCGTTGGATTTATAATTTACACAAGTACGGTTTTTTCTTTGAGATTGACTAGTAGTGCCTGAATGCTTGTTGTTTACAAAACAGTTTTAGTATTTCGTACAAAAAGTTTACACTGTATTAAGTTGAAGCTTTTTTGGATCATGTGCAGCGACTGTCCTTGGCTTTGCATGTATTTGAAAGAAACACTACTTTCGTACATTGCATATAACAGATGTTTGAGTTTCAATCTCTGCGTCTGTCTGTCTGTTTTTGACATAGAACTTTGCACAAATGTGCGCCAGTTCAAGTCGCCACACTCCTTGTAGCACACAAAGCAAGAGAACAAAGTAGAAGAAATGCAAAACAGAGACCGTAAAAAGACATGAGACAAAAGAATAGTAATAACGAAGACAAAACAGTTTCATTGGAAATCATAAGTCACAAGGAGTGGATGCATCGGCGCCATTGAGAACGATTTTGAGCCATGTCACCAATTGTTTCCAACCATAGATTTTTACCGTCCCGAGGACCCCAGCCTGGAAGTCTACACCTTCCTACGTGGCTTAGACCAACTGTTGTGGATTTCATTGACTGATGCCAAGTTTTTGTTTGACCGCCGCTAGCTTTTTTCCAGCCTGACCCTATATCCGCTAACATTGCTCGTCGAGGGAGGCGATGACTTGGCATACGTAACACATGTCCTAACCATCTCAGTCTTTGTAGCTTCACGACTTCGTCGATTGATTTCCCCTGTTTACCTAGAACTCTACGCCTAACCTCAATGTTGCTCACCTTATTATGCCACTTTACACGGGAAATAGAACGCAGGCACCTATGATCAAAGACAGCTAGTCTTTTCATGTCTTCCACTCTCAGTGGCCAGGTCTCACAACCATAAAGGAGGACGGAGCGGACTGATGAGCAGTACACCCGCCCTTTGGTCGATAGTCGAACATCTCGTCTACGCCAGAGTCGGCGTAAACTAACAAATGCGAAACGAGCCCCTTGTATTCGTGCTGAGATTTCGTCAGAGATCAGCCCGTTGGGGCTGATGGTACTTCCCAAATAAGTGAAGCGGTCAACGTGCTCTACCACTTCACTTCCTATTTTTAAACTAGGCGTCGATGTAGTCCAGTCCTGTAACATCATCTTGCATTTGGCGGGAGCGAATCGCATGCCAAACATTCGTAGATTGCGGCTCAAGGTGTTTAGAAGACTCTGCATTTCGTCAGCGTCTTCGCCTAGAAGGACTATATCGTCTGCATATTCCAAGTCAACGAGATTATTCCCTGGTAGCAAGTCAATCCCTGAGTCGCTGAAGTCACCTAGGGTTAAGTCCATTAACACATCTATGATGAAGTTGAATAGAAAAAGAGATAATGGGCATCCTTGACGGACACCACTGGTCGTCATCAGTTCAGATGACAGCTCGCCGTAAGCCCTCACCTGGCTGTATGAGTACGAGTAGAGTGCCTTAATCAGTGCAATATATTTTCTCGGAATTCCCTTTACAGCCAAGCATCTCCAGAGAACTTCCCGATCGACAGAGTCGAATGCTGCCTTTAGGTCAAGAAATATAATGACTGTTGGACGCCGGTAGGAATGCCTATGTTCTAGAATCTGTCGGAGGGTGAAGATATGATCAATACACCCTCTTCCTGGTCTAAAGCCTGCCTGGCTCTCTCGTGTTTGTGCTTCCCGAGCACCACTCAGTCTACGCATGATTATTGAGCCTAAGACTTTAGATACTATATTAGTCAAGCTAATCCCTCTGTGATTATCACAGGAAGACTTGTCTCCCTTCTTGTATATGGGGATAATCAGTGACTTACACCAACCCGATGGGACTTCTTCTGATTCCCAGACGCTGCCTAGTACCTCAGTTAATCCAGACAGTAAGCTGTCTCCACCGTACTTAAATACCTCTGGAGTCATTCCATCAGGTCCCGCTGCTTTGCCTAGTTTCAGATTGGTGACAGCTTTAGTAACCTCAGTTAGTGACGGAGGACCTGTGTCTATATCCCATTCAGGGAGGTGTTGGATGCTCGGAAGGTTGAGCGTGGCTGTGGGCAAATTAAACTGCTCCTCATAATGCTCTTTCCAACGATCCAGTCGTCTATCCTGGGAGCTAATTATAGTGCCATTTTTTTCCGAGATTGTCTCACTAATGATTTGTCTTCTCCCACCCGTTTCCCTGATGAGTCCAAAGAGTTGCCTGGTGTTGCCTATCCTCGAAGCTTTCTCCATCTCTTTGGCTTTTGTCGCCCACCACTGTTCACGGTCCTTGCGGAGACTTTTCGTAAGTTTCCTCTTGTGCAGCTTTCGCTCCTCATTGAATTCGGAGCTCGCCGGAATAAGTCTTCTAGCATCTATCAGTTCGGATGAGGCGGTGGAGATCCAGTGGTTTTTACTCACCTTTGGGTTTACCTTATTCACAGCTTTTACAGCTGTATCTATGGCTGCCTGGATATTTTTCCAAGCTTCTTCAGGGTGAGCACAGCTGTCGAACACAGATATGTGTTTAGCTAGTTCTTCCTCAAATACGGATTTAGTTTCCTGATCGAGCTGGGGACGTGATGGTTTTACCGCCAGCTGTTTCCTACGTCCGTTCAGTCGTAAGCACACCCGAGCGCGGACCAGTGCATGGTCGGTATCTACGCACGTGTTCCAGAAGGAGCGACAATCTCCTACCGACCCACGCCAACGATAGCTTATTGCTATGTGGTCTATTTGTGTCCAGCGTTGGTTTGATGAAGGGGGTCTCCAAGTCAAACAGTGTCTCTCCTTGTGTTTGAAGTTAGTGCTTACAAGAAACAAATGATTATCAGAGCAGAACTGTAGGAGACGGTCACCGTTGTCGGTTCGCTGGCACGGAACTCCATAGGTGCCACCGACATCCTTCTCAGATTGACACAATTTCCCTACTTGAGCGTTAAAGTCACCAGCTAGAACGACTATGTCTGAGCGTTTAGCCTTTCCACCAAACTAGACAGCTTTTGGTAGAACTCATCCTTCGTTTCATCTGAACTGCAGTCAGTGGGGGCGTAGGCGGAGATTACGAAAAGGCATCGGCGAGTAGTGCAGTCCTTCCTCCTTCTTACTGATCCGTTCAGGCGGACAGCACACATTCGGCTATCTACCGGGATCCAGTCAAGCAATGTCTTTTCTGCCCTAGTACTCAAAGCTATCCCTACGCCAGCTAATCCTCGTGAACTAGCTGTGGCATCTCCTGACACCCTCAAGGTGAATTTTGCAGATTCAACCTGTTGGCCAGGTGGGGTTAGGTGAATAACCACACTTGGGTCTTGTATGCGTGTTTCTGAAACACAGCATACATCAATGGCTCGTGATGCCAGGGTCTTGGCTAGTGATGCTTGTTGTCCTATTTGGCAAAGTGTCCTAACATTAAGAGCTCCTATATGAAATTGGTGGCGCGGCTTTAAGAGGCTGTCGGTGGTGGTTTTTTGGCTTCCATCGTTTTTAGTGGACGCAGAGTGGAGAGGAAGTGGAGAGCTATCAAGTCGAGGAGTTGCATCAGTGGAAGGAAGGCAAGATGATAGAGATGAAGATGAAGACAAAGATGAGTGAGTAATAGAGAGGTTTCGTGTGCATTTCGGATTGTGAGGGCGATTGTTACTTCCCGGCTGCCCACACCGTGGAAGTTGGTTGCGTGACCGCAGAGCCCAGGGGACAACTGCTTGAGGCCGGTCACACGCGCCTGGCTTTTTTTTGTTCTTTTTGTTTGGTGTGTCTCAGTAGCATATTTATCACTCCTGCCCTGTGACACGGCAGCAGGAAGCGCGGTCGTTGTTAATCCGGGCCACGGCCGATCCGGCATGAAATTTTGTGAATTTGTATTGGACATGATGTTGGATTGGGTAGCTGCTTTTTGTTTAACCGCTATCCAAACAACCTGCCTGGCATGGTAGACCTCAAGAGACATAAGTCTCAGCCAGTATAGCTTGAATAGATCATTGCGGTGTTCAAGCCCGACCACCACGTCAAGGTAGCAGCTTTCGGTCGGGCAATCGTCAGCTCATGGTGAAATCCTGTAACCAATCAACCAAATCCCTACAAACTAACAGTCTCTGCGTAGTCAGTTGCTCATTTATTTATAGACCGTCCTTCAGCTTAACCATTGGTTTTTACCTTGTAGTAGCCTTACAAGCCCACCTAATTGATTCGATCAGTTTACGTAAAATTAAACAGATGGTTAGACGAATCAGACTAAGATAAGGTAAACTGGATGTAAAAAAAGTCAGATTCAGAAGTTCAATGACTCCGATATGTGTCAGTCATCACACCCATCTAGTGTTTTATCGTTATTTTTCTCACTTCGACGTCCACAGCTAAAAGTCAACAGTCAGTCACTTTCCTGATCGATGTATCCCTTTAACAACCTAGTCACATTGATTCTCTAACTGGTTAGTGGAGATTTCGTTGTAATACTCTTGCGTATCTTTAGGTTTACATTGCTTTTTCTGTCCTTGCATCACTGCTACTGCTATTGCTGTGGTTGCCTTGGCTACTTTCATCATTATTAATAACGATGGCAGTGTTGTTGATTGTTGTGTGTATACAGTTAGTATTTTATTCACCTTAATATGTTAATCTATACGTCAGTGTAGTTGTATAAAGCATAAATTCAGCCTAAAAAGTCATTTCCAAATTAATCTTCATCAAATGTTGTATTTCTGAACGTCTCACTAGACGATTATGGTGACTGGAGAAATATTATTATTATTATTAATAGATGCTTAGTCGAATGAGTGTGAAGCGATTCTTTAGGCTGTTTCAGTTTAATTAAGCGTTATCGAGTAGTTTTACAATTTAACAAGATCTCGAGTGCTGAAATATGTAATGCATCGCTGAAAAACTCTTTCAAGTAGGAAGTGCAGCGCTAACATGAGTAGTTTGTTGCACTACTCGTAACTATCTGCAGTTCCTTCGCACTGATTTAAATAAATCTGTCATACAAATAAAACATACGTTTATTCTAAGTGCATAATTTTTTGGATGGCTGCTATTTGTGTTATTTAAGGAGGGTGGTTCACAATGTAACCTTGTTCAAAGAGATGGTGAATGAAGCTTCGGAGTTGATACCTTTCGTTTTACGCAAAAAATTACTTTCCCCAACTATAACTGGGTCTCATCATTATGGTTCTGAAAGTTTTGTTACTAGTGCACCTACAACTCAACCCGTTGCATGGTGGAGTCTCGGTGGTAATGCTCCAGTCATGGCTAGCAGATTGGCTCGCGAAGGTGCGCAGGTGGCTTTGGCTGCTCGGTTATCTCAGAGGCAAATATCTCATTTACCTTCAGGAGTAAAAGGTAATGCCTAAATTTTCTAAATTCGTTTGTCTTTCTAAATAATCTGTCGTATGTTAGACTAAAGATCGTATGCTTGCGCTGTAAAATTCGGATTTTGTTCTGACGTTTTATTCCATTGACTAATCATTTTTATTGGTAAATATTTTACGTAGTACGTACGTAGTAGGCAAAAAGTCTGTGACGAAGGATTTGTAGTTAAGGTTATAAACGAGGCTAAAGACATGTTCAAAAGTTATTGACTTTTGGTAAACTTAAACACCTGAGTTAACATGATTATTTCATGCGCCTGTGATATACAACTCTTTATTTCGGGACACCCCGTGATTTATTTAATGCTGAATGCCACTATTCCCATCGTCTAATACCATACTTCAACACCGCTTACTTAATGATTTCAGTATAAATCACCGGTGTTATGACGTAACTACTGACAGGAAACCGTCGAGGTTGTAGTGTCTAGGAGGATTTTACTTGAATTTTCACAATTCTGTGATAATCTGGTTTTTAAAGAATCTTGAAAGAACTGGCATGAATAATTTTGTTTTCTGCGTAGTAAAAGTAGTGATATATCTCGGCGTTGAACGTCTCTACTGATTTGCATTGTTTTAATGAATTTACGGACTCTTTTAATAACTTACCGTAAGCAATCCTTATCTTCCTGGCTTCACTACTTTGTCTACAAAATGGTTACTATTACTTTCGTTTTCCCTGGAGAGAATCATCATATCACTAAGTAAGGGAGTAAGTATACAGCTCTAGGTAGCAAAGAAATTCTGTCTACAGTTAGAATCAAAACCAGGTTTTTTATGAGTACATTATCTTAGGTATGTTTCGTCGTAAACTTCACTCGTTTAATTCATTGTGGACCAAAATATACCTTTATTTACAAGTTAAACTTATTTCGTTGTCACCTACAAACTTTATTTCGTTAGTTTAAGGCGTTTAGAAACTTACTGTTTATCTCTTTTATTTTATTTTGAATACCAGTTTTAATGGCACCCCCGGATTTTGGTTTACCTGATATTCCTGAAGAAGATATTCATTTGGTTTTGGAATATGAGTCAGGAGACAAATTAGAAGACTCAGTTGCACCACGTGCTAATCGGTGAGTTCGTCACTGTAAAAATAGTTCCTATTTTAACATGTACTTATTATGTAGCTTATTCCTTCAGTGTCGCAATGTTAGTGTTTTGTATAATTTATAGAGTATTTACATTATCAGAAATCGAAGTGTACGCACAATTTGAAAATCCATACGACCAGTTGAAGTCTTTTACTCCCGTTTCTGAAAATCATCATAGTTGGTTCAAAGCAAAGTTAGTTGACATTGCTCACCAATTTTGCAATAGTTGTACAATTCAGAAAAGTATCCTAACATCTAAGCACTTTTTATAGCGCTAAAAGAACTCAAATATTTTTCTGTTAATTCACACAGTACTGATTGTCTTTTTGCATTCTATTCTGCTAATAAGATTTGAGAACGTTCGTGCAGTTTTAAACAATTTCTAGGTGTTGATTTTTACAATTATTATTTCTTTTGAAGTGTGAAGATTCCTCGGGTTCTGTGACTGTTTGTATCTTATCACTTAGTTGTCTCTACCGAGTGAATTAATTATAGACATATCAAGCAAAAATTTATGTTTACTTTAGCGCTATACTATTTTCTTTGAATGGCAGGATAAACAGTTCTTCATATTTCATTTCAAGACTCCATTTCATGAAAAAAAAACAATTATGGGTGAAATTGACTGGTGTTCGTCTTTCCGCTTCCAGTTTTTCTGAAACAACTACACACTTTAAATATTTTGTTATACTGAGGCTTGCTTTTCTCATTACTTACAGTTCTCTTTCCTGATTATCGAAACCTTCATAAGGCTTCTGATAATTTCATAGATGATTTTAGGGAGTTTTTTAAAAGAGAAATCGTTCATGACTAGGCTTATTTCTTCAGGTTATGAATTCATAGCTGTAATAATAATGAGCATAATTCCTCTTAAATTTTATAACCTCCAGCGAAAAATCCAGAGTGGATGAATACATCCCATCAGTTACATATATGTATTCCTATGCTAAACTTTCATGTAATAAACAAACTAGGAATATTATCTAATTGCCGAAACATTTAAAAGTGGAGTTCAGGTTAAGGCTTGAAAATTTAGCCTGCAAATTAAATAACTCACAGATTCTCTTGTCACTCTAACTATCCTTTTAGTAGCACCCAAAAGTGGTAGCCTGCTATTATGTAACTGATTATTTGTATATAATGTAAATCATAAAAGTGGAGATCTGTTACCGAGACCGCCTCCTCAAGGCAGTCTCTCTACCTACTCAGTTTGCATTGCTTTATATTTACATAGTAAGCTACTCTAATTGATCTGACTATCTGAATTAGTTGCTATCCAGCAAAGTGATAGGAGATGTTACTCATTTCTCTTCTGTCTACCATTAGTTTCATTAATGCATACAGTAATAATCGTAAAGATGAATCTCGGCCGATAACTGCTACCTTGTCGTGGTGGTTGGGCTTGAATACCGTAATGACCCAACATGCTAAACTGACTGGGACTCTGTCCCTGCAGGTCCTACCATGTCAGGAAAGTTGTTTGGATAGCGGTTAAACTAAAAGCAGTTACCATGGGGTACATAGGTTCCAGTATCCAACCGGATCAAATGGCGTAGGAACCCATATGGGTCACCGGAAACCATGGGAATGCAGCTCCTGACGCTGCTCCGCTGCCTTTCGGACTAGACTCCAAGTCAAAGGCTCGGGGAGTTGGTCCCTTAATAAGACCACCTGCTTCGGTCTGGTCGCCCGGGCAGTATCTCAATCCTCACACAATGAATTGAATAAAGCAACAAACAATCAATGAAACTTATCGCGTGCTATTACACGTGTTGCAATTGCCTTCTTTCTTCCCTTCCCGATGATAGTTAACTAATACTGTTTGAACTTGTTAAGCATGACTGTTTTCCTTCCAGATGAAGTTTTTCGTCCGTTCTATACTTATATATATATATTTCTCTTCTTTCTTTTTTCTTTTGATCTATGTTGTTTTATTATTATTGTGTGGCGCATCCTTCTTGGTGCCATATTGTACCAAGTTTTTATGCGTTTAAATAAATAAATAATAATAAGTAAAGATGAATGAAATCCATCCTTATTTTGACTGATTTTAGTTTCAGCCATGTAAAACCAAATTAAGTATAAGTCAGCTCATGTTGATAGTAGCGGAAAAGAAAGAGTATAATAATTAAAAAGAGGAAAAGATAGATAACTTCTAAATAATATTATTTATTTTCTTCTTTTTTTTACAAAGAAATTGATGTAAAAGAATGCTTTAAAATCTTTTACGTGCCTATGAGTGTACGCAATTTTCATGTTTAATGGTATTCTGAATATTTAATGACGTAGTTCTCTCGTAAAAACTTCATTTCTATTCCATGAGTTGTGTGTAGGCTATTTCTTATTAGTACTTCTATATACCACTCAGTAGTTTTTGATGTAAATAATTGTCTTCTGTGCTCGTCTACATACAGAAATCATTATAAGTAGATAATTACTCAATTTATACGTCAACTTTTCATACTTAAAAAAAATCATTTACACTCAAAGTCTGTGTATGCATTCTGAGCACAGTACAGTGACTCTTTGATTATATTCCAGATAAATTATGAACTGACAATTTATTCATTGACTGAATCCAATCTAGACTTCTGTATTAACCAAGGAATTTATTATGCATTAATTTTTAGGTATATTCTTGTACATGATGTAGAGAATCCTTTACTTAGTGGTTTATGGCCTGGATTACTTGAAACTTGGCAACGTCATAATTCTGAATTTGTTGTTGATGAGAAGGAGTCTACAACTACAAAAGAAGCACCAGCTATACCTGATTTGTTTGTATTAGGTGGTTTACAAGTAATGGACAATATCCTATCAGTAGAAGAGACTAGTAAGTTAAGATTTATTGATTTGATTGACTGTCTTACAAATTCTATAGAATTTAAATGGTGACGATGTATTAAAAAAACAACTAAGAAAGCTATAAGACAACGCTTGTTTTCAATAAGTTCTTTGTCAGACTGAACAGTTATAAGTTCATTAATAATACCATAAAACTGACAGTAAAGTCAAAACTGGAGTTAATCCAAGAAACAGCAGTCTGGTAGATAGAATCAAACGTGGTCGAATTAAAAGATTGATTGGTAGACAGTTTTAAGTCTGTATAAAATGTACCGTCAGAGGGTTAGAGATATGAGACAGAATAGTTAAGCGGCGTGTTTGAGTATTTCTAATCAATAAAAACGCATGTTTCTACGATTAGTTTATAAAATATATGCTGTGTAGTACGGTTAACTTTTAAAGTTGAGTTTTGTAGGTGTTAGCGTTATATGTAGGTATATTTCACATGAATTGGACCTGTTGAAACTTGTAACTTATTAAAGTATATTACTACTGACTAACGTTTATACAATGACAGTTTTTCAGCTTATTTACAAGAGTGATCACAGTATGTATCTGAAATACCGTTAATTACCATGTTCCAGGTGTTGCAACTCATTGTTTCTCTTGATTGACTTACAACCATTAACTGACATCTGAGAAAACCTCTCCTCTTGTCGAAGTTGTGTCATTAGTTCTCATGTAATAGGTATGGCTCATTAAAAACTGCATGTAAATGCAAGTGGTTGTTGAGTAATATTTAATCCTTATTAAAAATTCTACCACTGATGTTTTATATTAAAGTTATATTTATTTCTGTATAATAATTTAACCAATTGTCGTTTGAATAATGTCAGCGATTATATCTAAAACATGTTAAGACTTGATATGCTGTATATGTGCTTGCGGTGATGCAGTAGTAGAATGCTTACCTACCACGCATGTGGTTCGGGTTCAATTGTCGGCTGGTACGCTGCTGAACTTCGTCTAGTTTACTAGCTCGTAGTAAGCCTGGAAAAGAGGAAGGACTAGGAGTGAGACTACTCTGTGAAAATAACAGTACCGTTACTGAAAACCCGAAAGTTCTGCTTCCCACTCTGGAATGCAAAGGAATGAAAAAAAAACAACGTTATATGTGCGTGCTTTCTTGGCTCCTTTGTTATTCCTTTACGTCCGCAGTGGGACATAGGGCTTCAAGTTAGAGGTTTGGAGTTCCGGTAACAGTGGTGTTTATTTTTATGGGATGCAGTTGCTGGCCTCATGTTCAACCTTTCCTCTTTACCAGTCTCATTTCTGGCTTAACGGAGTAAAGGAGTGCGTCGGTCGGGGATCGAACCCCGAACTACATGCGTGGTCGGCGAGCATTCTACCGCTGTGTCACTGACGTTCTTGGCTCCTTGCAGCATTCCTTTTTCTGAGCTAGTGATAATATTCAATAAGATTTTATTCATTTATGTAATTAAGGTGTTTTCTCAGATGTTTCAACCGGATGTTTCCAAAGACTTTCTTAAAGAGTTTCACATAAGATTTCAACTTTCCAAAAAGTTTTGAATAAAACACATATTTATTGATTAAATTTGTGTATATCAGACAATAAGTAACTCTTATTGGTCTAAGATGACCATGTTTACTTATGTCGTTTAAAGTTAAAGGGCCTTCGATAGTTGTTTATTGAAGATTGCTCAGTTTGCAGTAATACCGTATCATTATTTTTTTCTCTGAGTAAATTATTGTCATTTTTTAAGGTTGTTTATTTGTAGGGGTCTGCTTTACAGTCAGTCTATGCTTATTTACCGATCTACCTGTAGACCTATTGTTTACTGTTGTGACCTTAAACTTAATCAATATGTTTTATGATAGTAACCAGTGGTTATTAGTAATCGGTGGAAATATCCATTAGTTGAACATGTTTTGTAGTGTAGAAGGTAGTTACTTTAAACAGACTGCATATTTGCCCGTATCATTTGGTTGTACGAATTTCACAATAATGTTCAATTTCATATTTCATGTATTTTTTTATACAGTCCAATTGTATGAGGGAAAATTGAAGTGAAAAAACAAAACAACTACTCATATTTTAGATGTTTGTGATTATTACTCTACAATGAGAACATAGTAAAGAATGATTTCTTTTTCATTTGAACATTCTTTCTAATTGATTGGTGGATGGTGACTAGCAGTAGAATCTAGGATATGCATTCGTCCCATTTGGGACCCATTATCTGGATGTGCCTGCATTCCTCAGTGAGTGATGATGTTCCCACCGAGGATCGAACCCAGTGCCCAGACGCCAAAGCGTTATCCACTGGACCACTTGGGCCACGACAGCCACCTCTTGTGCAACGAGTCATATTAATTATTTAATTCAATTTGGATTTTCCTGTCTATTGATTGAACATCATCACTCACTGCGGAATACAGGCACATCCAGATGACGAGTCCCAAATAGGACGAAATGTATATCTTGGATTCCACTGCTAGTCACCATCCACCAATTAATTTCTGATTACATGTCCAGACATCGGTGAAGTGTCTGCACAAGAAGCTGACATGTCAACCTGAGACGGAGCACTTCTGTTCAATCAATCGACGGGAAAGGGTGAAATAATTCTTTCTAATACTTATTCACTATTGATATTTTGCTGTTCAACTTAAAATATACACATTTCTATTCTACTTGTAAGTCGTTAATTTATACATATTTATTTTAACAAATATTCTAATTTCTTTTTCTTTTATATTTTTTGATTAAAAATAGAAATAAGGACGTCTCGGATAAACGAATTAAATCGTTTCCTCAGTTCATTACCATCGGAAACATTAATTCACTTTGAAATGGCCTCTTATGTTAATGAAGATTTTACAATGGATATATTAAAAACTGTATTACCCCATTCGGATTCAATTGGTTAGTCTGTTTGTTACTTCTTTGTGAACTGAATTTCCAAACATATTTTAATAATCCCACGGTCATTTGTGTTGTTGTATGGAGGATTTCACCATCAGCTGACATCAGTTAGAGAACCACTGGAAAACCTGGGAGTACTGGACAGCTGTTTCGTCCTAGTTTGGGACTCTTTAACAGTACGCACCCACCGGGACTCGAAGCCAGGAGTTTCTGGCTACAAGGCGAGTGAGCTCGTAGACCGTTGAGCCACTGGGACCCGATTGATGGTGAAATCTTCCATACAATCAAACAAAAATCCCTACAAAACCAATACTTGAAAATTTATGTTGTCGTTTATTTGAAATTTTGTCTTCTGGTGGGTTATCTTTTACAGAACAATCCGATATCGAAGAGATTTTGTGCTTTACTCTTACTGATCATTGTTGTTTAAATTTTGTTTATGTTTGACGTCAAAGCGCTAGAAATTGCCTTCATCTAAGACAGATGTAACCAACATACATGGGCTGGAGAATAGTGACATATGCGTTGTCAAAGTTGACAATAAACAAAAACAATATTTGATTAAAGAGAATGCGAGTTTAGATTAATGATAATACTTATTAATAATACATAAAAACATGATGTATGAGCATCGGTTTTGTACATTAGAAGTTTATGTTGTGAAATTAGTGTTATTATACCTTATACTTACCCAAGACAATTGAGATTAACGGCTATCAACCGTGTAAACTAGTGTTAAGTTCTTGATTTATTCTGTCTTATCATTTTTCCTCAGGTTGTTCTGCTAACAATGACATACTAACGTAGGCAATTGTTCCATATACAAGATTAAAATTCTAAAATTCTTTTGATCGATTTAATCCTTTTTCTCACATAATTTTACAAAGGGAAACTTTTTATGGCTAAGGCTTCTCTATTCTACTCATTCAAATATATCGTAACGATAGTGAAGCTACTTTGTTTTGTTATGACATGTATTCACTCTATTTGTTTGTTATTTACATTATTAGTGGATGAACTGGATCCATGTTTATGCTGTCATTGATATTGTTAATTAGACTTATTTTCACAGTCTTACTTCTGAACATTTCAACTTAATAAAAAGAACATCAAAGACAACAGGTGTTTGACAAAGTTTCCTTTTTGACACATAAGACAGGTTTAAGTCTTTTTATGGCTAAGGCTTCAATGAATGTAAGTATGTGGCCAAACCTTGTTTTATATATCGGCTTAAAGGCATTGTTGAAATCAACCTTATGACCCGTCTCTATAATATGTTTCGCTATAGATGATGTTGGACATCTATTTCCGGGGTCAATTGTGTCTGGCGATTTCATTTGTTGTTGCAGCCATTTTGGAATGTGTTCTGTAGCCTTAACCTGCAGAGACCGATTGGTCCTCCTTATGTACGTCTCTCCGAAAAGCTCGAGCTGCTTTCGCTGACTTACACCATCTCTGGCGTAGGTGTGACATCCGGTTATCAACCAAGGGACGTGTGTACTGCTCATCAGTTCGCTCCGTCCTTCTCTATGGCTGTGAAACATGGCCAATACGCGTTGAAGACATGAAAAGGTTGACTGCTTTCGATCATAGATGTCTGCGATCTCTGTCTCACGTTAGGTGGTTTCACAAGATAAGTAATGTTGACGTTAGGCATAGAGTGTTGGGCAAAGAGGGAAAATCAATCGACGAGGCTATAAAGTTACATAGACTAAGATGGCTAGGTCACGTGCTGCGCATGCCTAACCACAGCCTCCCCCGACGGGCTTTGCTAGCTGACATAGGTGAAGGTTGGAAAAGAGCCAGTGGTGGCCAAACAAAAACATGGCATCAATCCATGAAATCCTTGACAGTTAAACTGAGTCAGGTAGGGAGATGCAGACTCCCGGGTTGGGGCCCTCGGGACTCTAGGAATCAATGGCTGGAGACAATAGGTGACATGGCTCAAAATCGTTGTCAATGGCGCAGATGCATTCAGTCTCTGTAATCTTTCATATTCCTTTCTACAATTACCCATTCTGTTTCACTCTTATATTTGTCAAACTCTATTGATTCTCTTCAATCATCTTCTTGTCTACCTTGTGTGCCAATTGGAACGTGGCAACTGGAACTGGTGCACTTCGGTGCCAAGTTCTATGTTGAATCCAGACAGACAGACGTCTCTCCACACATACATGTAAATTGATAAACACAGTGGAGTGTAACACTATTGTTCAGATAATGTGAGGGTTTACAGGACAGCATAGTTCCCGTTTTCTCTATGAAGATAAGTTTAGCTGCATAATAGGTTCTATTAATTGCGGCTTTGTGTTTTTGTCTAGTGACTAGACTTTGTTAATCACCTCTGAACGGCAAGGATATGTGAGCATCCTTTTTGGGAGCTGATTGGACTGGTAAAGCTCCATGGTTGACACTTCCGTAACGTCTAACAAATCTCAGTGGATAATTGTTATCTAACAATATTTCAGTGAGGTGTTGTCTTCCTTCTTCAATTGTATCAGCAGTACATATACATATATAAAACAAGGTTTGGCCACATACTTACATTCATTGAAGCCTTAGCCATAAAAAGACTTAAACCTGTCTTATGTGTCAAAAAGGAAACTTTGTCAAACACCTGTTGTCTTTGATGTTCTTTTTATTAAGTTGAAATGTTCAGAAGTAAGACTGTGAAAATAAGTCTAATTAACAATATCAATGACAGCATAAACATGGATCCAGTTCATCCACTAATAATGTAAATAACAAACAAATAGAGTGAATACATGTCATAACAAAACAAAGTAGCTTCACTATCGTTACGATATATTTGAATGAGTAGAATGGAGACTGTCAGTTATGATTTGAATTCCGTCAAGTAGCTAGTCTTATGTGATTTTATTACTAATATGGAATTATGTGATTTTGTATTATGTGTTTAGAGGAAATCTATAATTCTATCAGATGTTACGTTTAGTTGTTTTAAAGGTGTTCTATCAAGGTTTTAGCACAGCTTGAATATATATTGAGGCGTTCGCTATACTATGCGCGGAAACAACTCACAATAACTTTTATCCTCATTTAACAAACAGAAGATTGGAAATTATATTTTTTGGGGGAAAAATAGTCAATCAATGTATAGTGGTAAATTTGAACAAAAAAACGTAACATGAACATCATAAGTCACTCTCATAAGATAGTAACTTACTCTAGTGACCGGTGGGTTACAACAAGTCGGGTGTGAGGGCAACCACTCACCAATGACATTGGTTAGTGGTAGCGCTATATCGTGAATTGGCAGAAGTTTGGATTCATGGGCCCATTGACCGGGTCCCAGTGGCTTAATGGCCTTATGACCGGGAAGGTCTTAGACTCGAGCTCCAGTGGGTGCGTACTGCTGAAACGAAATAACTGCCCAGTACTCCCAGATTCTCCAGTGCTTCTCTAACCGATATCAGCTCATGATGAAATCCTGTAACCAGTCAAATCCCTGCAAGTCAACAGCTGAAGGCAAATAATTCCTGAAGTTAATGATTCTGTTTAGCGCGGTATCAAAATATGTATAATTGTGAATTATCTAATTCCATGTTAATTTGTGTATTAGATATATTACACAGCGAAACAGTATTATTTACTGGATGACATTTTGAACACAAATTACTGTTCATAATCATATCTATTATAATTACACAACTTCGAAACTTAAGTTTTCTTTGTTCTTTCCTATTTGACTTAAATCCCTTATTGTTGTTGTCATCATTCTGTGCATATTTAACATGCATGCCGTCATTAATATTATTGCTATTATCAATATCACTACTATTATTATTTTATTTTTACATTTTCCTACATACTTCCTGATTAATTTATCAGGGTAATTATTAAATTTCAAAACTTCTCTTATATGCCTCACTTCATGTCTTAGATTTTCTTTGATACTACTTAGTTTTTGTTCCGTATTACTTAAACATTTTACCAATCCTATTTTAGCTGACATACATTGGGATGATCGGAAATCCAAATATCGGCCTGAATGTGTAGGTTTCCTATAAACACTAGTGTTTGACTTCCTATCTTCTTTCCTTTTTACGGCACAATGTGACACTGGAAGGTCCACTTCCTGACATTCAAGTTCATAGGTGAATTGAATTGCCTCCACCTTTGAGCTAATGTGCTCGAAAAATCTATCTATATCTTGTGTTCTAAGTACAGTGAATGTGTCATCTACATACCTCCACCATACTTTTAGGGGTGGGGCTGAACGTTTCAATCGCTATGTTTTTCCACCTATCTATGAATATATCTGCCACAACCGGGGATATAAGTGACCCAATAGCAACCCCCTCAGTTTGTTTGCATATTTCCCTCTGGAATTTAAACACCATGGAAGTCAGGCATGGCTGCGCTCGCAGCATTATGTTCGCAAGTGGCACTTTCGTCCTAAGTTTGAGTTCTTGGTCAGAAATGAGTTGGTTTCTAACTGCCTCTATAGCTATATTTATTTGCACACGTGTATATAAACTAACAATGTCAAAAGTCACCATTTTTTCTTCATTATCTAATTTTAAATTATCTAATCTATGTTTTAGTTCATAAGAATTTGTTAGTCTAGATTTTGAGTGACTTTTAAGGGGGTTTAATACCATGGCTAAATATTTAGATAACTCATAAGTAGGTGAATTTCTAAAATCAACTATAGGTCTAATAGGTTATCCTGACTTATGAACTTTAACAACACCATACATCCTACTCGGGTTATTAGCTTTTGGCACTAAATTAAACCATTTAGACTCACCTAGAAACGGCCTCGTTCGGTGTAACCTGATTCATAACGGTGCCTATTGATTTCTTAATTTCCCCATTTGATCGTGTTTGTATATGGGTATTCACCTTCTGTTATATTACTATTGAATTTCATTTGTCTGATTTAATGATAACTATGTCCTTGTTATTCTTAAGGTGTTTTAGGGCTTCTGTCTCTGGTTTTACCGGGTTAGGCTTTCCTCGTTGTTGTCGTTTTAATGTTAGCGCAGATTGTGCCCTTACTTCGTCTTCTGTTGTTCTGTCTATCCCACTTAGTGCTGTTTCCATTTTAAGGATGACATCCTTAGGTTTCAGCTTGTCTACCACTATTTTGAAATTTAGTCCCTTTTCTAGTATACCTATTTCTGTGGGACTTATCATATATGTTGAGAAATTGATAGCCCGCTTTGATTTATCGATTTTCGATGACTGGTGTCATTGGTCTCAGATACAGATTTTTTCCCAATAATTTATTAAAATTTTTGATTTGAGTATTTTATTTTCGACTTTTGAATGCTGCAGAATTGTCATTGTACTATTTCATGTTTTTATGCTAATCCTCTTTGTGAAACACTCATTCTAATGTGATTCAACAGTTTTTACAAAGACATTTAATAATCATAAGATTATAAGTTTCCAGACCGTGGGTGTTACGAAATTCCTGGAATAATTTGAGCGCTGAGTCAGATTGATTCATTATAAATTATTTAAATTAATCAATCCCAGCGTGTTAAGAAAATCAAAACAAGATCTGTTTTCTGAACGTTTCACTGATAAATCTACTGAAGTATCTGTGGCTTACACAGCGAAACATTCAGAAAAATCTTGTTTTAATTTTTTCTTAACACGCTGGGGATTAATTTAAATAATTTACAATGAACTTTCAATAATCGTTTGTCATTTTTAACAACAATATTATTGTTCTACTTAAATGGACAAATTTCAATTCAATCAACATTGTCTGAAAAACAACTTTATACCTCACGTGCAAATAAATACAGAGGTGTATTATTATTACTATTATTACTATTCTTGTATCGACATAAATTCCAAAACACAGTGACATTTTCTCCTTTCTTTCTTTTCTTTCTGATATTGTGACGATAATCAATAAACTACTATTGATCATTGAATTTTTCTTTCACTGGTTTACTTTCTATAGAAATCAACAGTGTAACATTGTATTATAATCGTCTGTATCATTTGTATTTCAAAGTTTAGTATTTATTTACCTAACATATATCAGATTACACTGCGATCTTCTTCACTGTAGAAAAAAAAGTAGTAATGTGACTTCGAAAAAAGAAGGAGTGGGGGTGGAGGTTTGTTTATGTAGGCCTACATGTTAGGTTGTGGTGTTTATTCATTAAATGGTGTACTTTTCCATTTCTGTACTGTGTTTGTCTTTGATAAGCTTACGTGAAATACACTGAATAAATATTAGTGAAATTAGGTTGTGGAATTTGTATTTCACCGAGTTTTTATATTTTACAATATACTAAAATGATGCTTAGTATGGTTATGTAAAGAAGAGATCTCCTCCCTCAAGAATATTTCAGACTCTCAATACTCATGTTGCATTGAGACTGGTAGAATAATGAGATTTGTGAATGTACTTTTCTTCTAGATGTGTTTGTTTAATTCTATGAACAAAGAGATTCTACACGATCACTGATTAATATGTTGTAGAGGGAAAACAGTGTTATTTTGAAATTTCGTACTGTACTTCTGAAATCTGGAAATTTTTTTCGTTAGGATGTGTGGTTTTGTAACGGTAGAAGACAAGAGACTTGGTATTTAATATTTCTATATAGCGAAATTGTGTGCACCTTATCTGGAAATTGTCATTTGCATAGATATTCCGTGTTGTGTTACTTCTACCCTTCGTATTTTGTTTGTTTGTCTTCTTTTCGTGTCTCCCGTGTTTTGCCGCAACACTAGCTCATTTGCTCTCTTTGACGTCAAATCTATCAATCCGCTATATGTTGTTTTTATGCCGATCTATGTTTCTTCATATACTACTGATAAATCTCATCAATAGCATAATCCACACTTTAGCTAATGCGCAGTGATGCTTGTTAGTAGTTAACAAGGCATAACTCTAACTTTTAATGAATTCTGATGGAGTATATAAATCCTTTAGGATTTTAGATAATGTTTAACTGAAGTGCACCAGCGAGTACGAAAGTTAAGCCAATGGCTTTCTATTAATTACATCTAGCCATTTAATATCGTAATTGTCTTTTCTCTACAACATCTCTAGTCATTTTTCTCTCCTCTAAATCTAAAACTGAATATTGTTCACTTAAAAACACGAAGTAGTGATTTAGCTGATGTACACGAAATTATTGTCCATTAGATTTTGAAATTTAATTTTAAAATCGCTACGGTTTGTAATTATTTTCGTTTATTAGACATTATAAGATGATCGACGACGGTCGGAGGGAAGCCTTCAACCTAGGTCTAGTGGTTGTTGGCACTCGTCAGCAAAGCGTATATTCAACCTTGCAGGAATTCATGTCCCCCTTGAGATTCGAACCTGTATCACCCACTACTTCTGTTAGAGATGTACCACTAAGATATTCTGTCTCGCGATTAACCTTCTGTAGGACTGTATTGAATACTTTCACTAGATAGTAGGCAGTGACTAGTATTATGCGTCTGAGCGGATGTACTGCTCATCAGTCCACTCCGTCCTCCTTTATGCCTGTGAGATCTGGCCATTGAGAGTGGAAGACATGAAAAGGCTAGCTGTCTTCGAGCATTGTTGCCTGCTCTCTATCTCCAATGTGAAGTGGTATAATAAGGTGAGCAATATTCAGGTTAGGCCTCCGTTGAATGCTAGGTAAGGAGGGGAAATCAATCGACGAGGTTGTGAAGTTACGAAGACCGAGATGGTTAGGACATGTGTTACGTATGCCAAGTCATCGCCTTCCTCGACGAGCAATGTTAGCGGATATAGGGTCAGGCTGGAAAAAAGATAGCGGAGGTCAAACAAAAACATGGCTTCATCAGTCAATGAAATCCACAACAGTTAGTTTAAGCCACGTAGGAAGGTGTAGACTTCCGGGTTGGGGTCCTCGGGACGGTAAAAACCAATGGTTGGAAACAATTGGTGACATGGCTCAAAATCGTTCTCACTGGCGCAGATGCATCCACTCCTTGTGACTTATGATCTCCAATGAAACCGTTTTGTTCTTCCGTATTACTATTCCTTTGTCTCACACCTCTGCTTACTGTCTCTATTATACTTTTCTTGTACTTTCTTCTCTTGCTTTGTGTGCTACAAGGAGGGAGTGTGGCGACTTGAACTGGCGCACATATGTGCAAAGTTCTATGCCGAAAACAGACAGACTCCTTTGTTTGATGCAGACTAAATTCTATTAGGTCGATATATTTATCCGTTCCGTAATCTCTAAAACGAGCGATAAGTCTTTCTTATCTTTTCTCAGGTAGCAAGAATTTATTGACCACTAAAAACTGAAACAAGTTCTTTATGTACATCCCGTTCCTTACGTCGATTATTTATGTGTTTTGTCCTTTTGTCCAGTTTATTTTTGGTTTTACATGTGAATTATAAAGTTGATTCGATTCTTATAGATAGTTTCTGTTTGAATCAAACTGATGGAATAAACAATTACATTTTATTTATTCCATATTCACAATTAGCAATGGTCTTATATATACTTTTTAGGTTTAAATGAACAAGAATTGCCAAATCTTGTCAGTCTACTTTCAAATAATACTGTAACACATATTAGTACAGCATATCCTAGAGCAGCTAATATGTTAGATAACATGCGTTCTGTATGGGCATACATGAATGATCCAAATCTTCCACGTGTTAATTCAGCTAGTGGACCAAAATGGCGTCGATTATCTCGCCTACATTTACATTCATTAGCTCATCAAATTATAATGGTTCGTCGTCATTCAAAGGGTGGTGCTGTTGCTCGTGAACAATTAAAAGCACATCAAAGTTCTGGTATTCTACCTCCGCGTCGTTCTGATATTGGTTTAGCATGGCCGTTTACTAGAGCTGCTGTAGCTAAAGTGAGTTTTAAAGCGTATGTTTAAGCGCCTATCATTTTAGCATACTGTATAATGTACTTTTCAGCTGTAATCTGATTATTCACGTTCATAAGGATTTCACTGCTTTTCTAGAATAGACAATGCCAACGTGAGCGGTCTGACCTAACATACCACATCACTGCAAGAGTGTAATTTATTTCTTATTAGATGTTTAGTTAATTTTTTTTTTTTTGATTACAGCTTGATTCCACACCGTATTTTTGGTACATGTATGGAATTTTCAGCGTGGATATCAGTAGCTTAGAATTCGCAGGCCGACCATAGATATCATGTGTGCATCGGCGAGGGCTCGAACCCCGGACCATGTGTATGGTAGGCGGGAGTCCTAACCACTGTGCCACCGACGCCTAAAGCTGTCACGGATTTTAACTGATGACTTACAAGCTGTTTTATATATTGCTTCTTATCTTAATTATGATTCCAATGGAAAAAAACTTCTGTTTCTGGAAAACTTAATGACTACCTTTAAATTTTAAAGATAATGTTAAGATCTAAGGTTCAAAATATATCACGCAGATAAAATCTTGCTGATTAATTAATACCTACATTCAGTGGTGTCATTGATTTTCGACGTGGTTGTGTTCAATAATTGGTTGGATGGTTTAATTGTCTTTCAAATATTGAATTCTGTAGATGTTGTCTATAAAAACAACGAAATCTTCGCATTTTAATCTACCCAGCTTGAAGAACGCAAATGCATAAAAATCACTCACCTGAGCTATAAACCTTCTGTATTTAATCAATAATGTAATTTTTTATGGAGTCTGTCATTCATAAGTTTATTTTGGTCGCTCAGTTTTCAAACAGATTTATAGGTTCGAGTTCGTCTTCACTTATTGATGTTTAGACATCCAGGTATTACCTGTGACATAGAATCTTGCACCGATGTGCAGGAGTTCAATTCGCCATACTGCATGTAGCACACAAAGCAAGAGAAGAAAGTAAAAGAAATGCAAAATAGGGACAGTAAACAGAGATATGAGACAAAAATAATAGTGATAACGAAGAACAATATAGTTTCATTGGGTATTATAATTCACAAGGAGTGGACGCATCTGCGCCAGTGAGAACGATTTTAAGCTATATCACCGATTGTCTCCAGACATTGGTTTTTACCGTCCCGAGGACCCCAACCCGGAAGTCTACACCTTCCTACGTGGCTTAAACTAACTGTTGTGGATTTCATTGACTGATGAAGCCATGTTTTGGTTTGACCACCACTAGACCACCCTTTCCCAGCCTGACATCAGCCAACATTGACCGTCGAAGAAGGCGGTGGCTTTCATATTAATGCAAATGGTTATTTTTATTACTATTATTCGTGATATAAATTTAGTGTATATAAGATTTGGCATTGGTTTAAGAACTCAACTTCCAGTCAATGGACCCAGGGGTCGAATCTCACTCCGCCTAATTCAGCTTGGACAATTAGGTAGTACTAGATAGTATCATTAGCTCTCATGCGTTAGGTCCGACTCAGAGCCCAGTTTTGGATAGTCGATAACCAACTAACTTCTGTGACTGATTTGCACCGAAGGGCATCAGTTGCTACACTCCTTGTAGCACAAAAAGTAAAAAAAAGAAGGGAAAAACAAATTCAAAAGAACCATAATGGGCAGAAATGTTTAGCAGTAATAAAATGCTGACATGGAAGAAAACATGACTGTTTAATGCAAATGAGAGATCATAAAGAGCAAATACGGTTGCACCATGGTTTTGAGTCATATCGCCAATAGTCTCCAGCCATTGGTTCTTACCATCCCGAGGACCTCAGTCGTACAGTCTACACCATCCGACATGGAAGAAATTTCATGAACTCGTTCTAGTTTTCGGTGTGATCACTCCTTATTCTTTTATAATCCAACTCTATGTCAACTAATATTACTCGTCAACGAAGGCGATGGTTTGGCATATACACCACGTGTCCCAACAATCTCAATCGATGTACCTTCACACATTCTCTGCTATGCATGTATGTGCTTTAGCTCTATTCAAATTGAACGACGAATGACTTAACCAATCAAAACCATGCAAGCACTTGACAATAACCGACGTTTTGAAACTTTATTTAATCAATTATAACATTGAAACCCAGATTATTTTAAATTTTCTGTCTCAGTTTCTAATTTTTGTGCTAAAACTATTACTTCCTTTTTTTATTCTGTTTTTAAGGCGAGTCTTATAGCCCATCGTCATACATGCGCTGCATCTTCCATTGATCCGGTAAAAACTCGTTTATTAGTGGATGACTCATTTGCTGTCACCGCTGATCCTATCACTTGGAAATCAGCCTTACAAAATAATAATCAAATTCCTCGTATCAAATTCAATCATTCTGAACCTGTTGCTTGTTGGACGGAACCTGAACCCCGGATACAATCTGAACATAATCAGTCAGATCTAGAGAATTCGATTAGAGAACTTCCATTCGATACACAAATTGAAATTTGCATAGCTCCTGTTCTTGTTTGCTCACAAGTTAAACAGACAGCTGGTGCTGGGGATAATATTTCAGCTGCAGCGCTTAGAACTCAAATTGTATCTCGTTCATAAATTTTATAGACATTTTTGGTGTATATTTTAATCCATATTTTAGGTAATTGCTAAGATTATTTTGCTTTTCTTTTAAATTTTGACCAGAAATGATATTTTGTTTAACCTATTTGAACTTGTGAATTAAATTATCTGTATAACTCTACAAATGGGGTGTGATAAATTGCATTTTTTTCATTCTCTTGACTTTTTTTTTCCACTTTACATAACTAATTTAACCGTTATTAAAATTGCTGAGAACTTAAATTTCGTATAAATCTTATGATCATTTACTTTAAATGTGTATTACGACCTAGAGTGAAAAGTAGCTCAGCGTTTTTTATCTACTAATTAGCTGACGAACATAGTTACATTTTTCTAGAGACTTAATTTTCAGGGAATTGATTTGTTTCAAGTTTTATCGAGGATTGATATCGTTTAAAGAACCATTGAAAACCAGGGATTACTGGATATCTGCTTCGTCCTAGTTTAAGAGTCATCAGCGGCACACACTCGTCGGGATTCGAACCCAGGACCTTCCTGTTACAACTCAAGCTCGTAGACTATTCATCCTCTGGGTTCCCACTCAGTGGCCCATGAATTCTAACTTCTAACAATTCGTAATTGGCACGAGCCACTATCCAATGTGACCGGCGAGTATTTTTCCTCATTCCCGGTTGGTCATGGCTTCTCACTAGAACTCCAGGCAATTTCTTCTTGTTGCCAGTTACTAGCGGACATCAGATTAATTTTCGAAAGTTAGTGTGTAGTTAAATTTGTATTAGTTTTCTGTCATGTAAACCTTTCATGGTTCTATAGAAAACAATTATAAAACAATTTATGTGGGCTTTGTTATTTGTTGGCTAAAACTTTCTTAAAGTTGTACTACTGCAATGTGCCCGTAGACTAATGCATTGAAGGGTTATCTTTACGTGACCAGTAGACAGTTTATCTCTAACCAATGTCAGCTCATCATGAAATCCTGTAACCAATCAACCAAATCCCTACAAACCAATACTTGAAGACAGTTTATCAACTAGGTATTTCATTTAAATAGTTTAGTATGAGTTGAATCCATGACTCATACATCTCAAGTATACTTTACTAAACGAAGTTTATGAAGTTATTGTTGTTATTTTTTTCATAAAGAAAGAAAGGCCATATTTACAGTACAAAATGATATCACCCTATCTTTCTCAGGTTCTCATCAGCTGCAAGTTATCTGAAATTACAATGGTTATAAAAAAAATGAAAATAACATACTTCAATGCTCGAATGTTAGTAGAGGAAGTTTTATAAAACTAATTCAACAAAAATGTGCGTTTTACAACTTCCAGTTTCAGTTACCATCAATTTACATGCTTTCAAAGTAGAAAAGGCGATGGGGGATAGAAGACAGAAAATAGAAAAATCTAGTAAACTATTGTCGCTTATAAGTTCACATGGTAATTCAAGAAGATTATAGTGAGCTGAAAGTTCTAATATGAATAACTAATCAATGTAATCAAAATGCAGTTACCAATGGAGTGAGAAATTGACTACATTCTCTTTCTGTATGCATAAGTTTGATTGGAAACCTTTTATTTCAATTGCTTCAGCAAATTGTAGTAAATTTGGTGTCCTTTTGTATATTTAATATGTAGAAGGGTTTGGAAATTTCGATGAAATGACCAGTATCCACAAAGTGTCTGGTTATTGCACTTTGTGAATGTCTGCTTACTTTTTAGGCATACGTTTCTTGGGGTGTGCTCTGAAAACCTGATAGAAGCTATTCTTTCTATCCTTCCAATCAACAATTGGAGGTGACATCAACAGGGTACTTATCTAGTTTGAACTGGCTTATAGAGCATGTGGTGCTGTATAGCTTTACGAGCTTAGCTTTTTATTTCTCCTTGCACTATGTTTTCAATCTTTTGGGATACTGCTTCTCCTTTAAATGGGAGACAAGTGAACACTTTCTTCTTTTAAACAATTGTGTGCTTCGTTTTCGTGTCCTTTTCTTTGCTTTACTTTGGGATGAATCCTTTTGTATATCCATTTTCCTCCAGGCATTTCTGAACAAAGCCTAATTCTTCTTCTAGCTTGTTGGGTGAACATAGCTTCCTGGCTCCGTCGTGCAATGTCCTCACTAACACATGCTCATAGTTTGTAGGACAGAAGGTGTTATATTGTCCGGCCCAGGTTTCTATTCTATAGATGAACTTTTCGATCGTACTATCGTCTCTTCTTCTATCCAGAAAATTGAATTCTGTTCATATTCCACGGTGAATTTAATGTTTGGGGAGATCTCATTGAGACGATCAAATAATACAGATGCATGATTAATATCGTTACAAACAACAAAGATGTCATCCACCTATCGATAATAGTAGGCTGTTTCATTGTTAGCAGAACTTCGTCGTGTCTGTTCGAGGTAACCCGCTGACATATCGGTCAGAATAGGTCCCATAAGTGAAGTCGTCGCGATCCCATCAATTTCTCACTGTAGGCGATTGTTAAATTTGAATTAAATGTCTTTTGTGCAAAGGAGCAATAGATGCTTCATCTCTGTTATGGGTGGATCTGTTTGCTAACAAAGGATATCATTTGTTTTCGTTACTAGTATATTTATAATTAAGGCGATCACATCAAACGATACCATTAGTTTATTTGATGATAATATCGATATGATGTACTTGTTTGGGATATGGATAGTTATATTTCAAGCTATGGATTGCAAATTTATTTCAAATGGGCTACAGAGAATCAGTTAATTATCGAGCTAATCTGTGGCATGGCGACTGGTCATCAACAAGATAGGTGTTTGCTCACCACCTCCTTCACTGTCAAAGCATATACATTAATGGTAACATAAAGTAAAAATTGTGATACTTACACTTCAGATGCGTTAATTTTATAATGTTTTCTACACCACTGAAGTATTTTCAGTTTTTTATAACCATTGTAATTTCAGGTAATCTGCAGCTGATGAGAACCCGTGAAGTAGAATGATATTATTTTATGCTGTTAATTTGACCTGTCTTTCTTCATCTAAACTTATCGAGTGTATGAGATTTTTGTAAATACGCCTTCCTGGAAGAACATTATTATTTATCGTATTGTAACAACAGAAGACAAGGGCCAGGCAACAGATCCTTTATTAAGGAAGTCAGCACGTATTTATGTATATTTCATGTACATTATTATAGCTTATTCAACCAGACAAACACAGTCTTCTGATTGGTTGTTTCTTGCTCAGGGTTATTCTGTACTGCTTGTGACTGGTTTCTCAGAAAGTTAAGCCATATATCTGCGAATCCTATTTGCCCACGTTAAGTCTGCTGTGATTGGTTGTTGAATCAGCCTTGTTCATATTTTCTCATGGCCAATATTAGCTACATAGACATTGACGTAAATTTATGTCTACCAATTGGCTAGCAGCCTGCTCTCACTACAGTATAATGGATGTAGCTCACAGTCTAATGAACGAACATCTCGATTGCTTTTGAGATAGCCTAATAATTGTCGTTGCACAAGTGAATGTATGAACGCCGCTTTACTATCAGTTAATAACTGTCCATCTGACTAGTTCTTTCTACTATTAATAAATAATCCAATGATTCATACCGGTTTATTTGAAGCATAACCACGTATATACGACGTTGTCATTGAAAATATATCTTTGCTGAACTTTTTAATCTTTCCTCTCTAATGTCTTAACAGATATTATCTATAATATAAAATAAAATATACTGAAATCAAAGTTTCTTAATTACTTTCATTAAAAAAAATACTGAGAAAGTCTTAAATGCTTGATACTATAAAATTAGAATGGATTTAATATGACCTGAGAAATTTCTGTTCACCTTTTTGAAACCAAAAAAGATGACGTTAATCTAATTAACCAATATGAGGGCTGTAAATCATGTGAAATTGTTAAATGTATAAGTCGGCGTTTTATGGTTGCGTAAGATAAAATCATTGATAACGGTTACTAATTGATTTTTTTAATAAAGCAAGAGTTTGTGAAGAATAAAATAGTACCATTGTTTATTTCATTGGCTTCTCATCAGCTACTTACAGACTTAAGATATTATTAAGTTTATGTACAGAAATAATATTAGCATATTTACTCGGAAAGTTATTGTTTAAACAAGAAATCAATGTATGCATACAGTGGTAATAATTATAATGATCAGTTCATTCCAAACGATAACAATTGTACAGAATGGAATGTTATGTAATCAAATAAAAGAGAGACTAAAGATGTCTAGTTAACTATGGCAAGGAAATACTGATAACTGCTTCTTTCTGAACACATAGGTTTCAAGCATTCTATTGAGATTGTTTCAGCAAATTTGGGGAGCATTGAGCTCTTTTTATTGATAATTTTAAAGGATCTTGCGATGTCCACCTCATGACTCGTATCAAGGAGTTACCTGACAATGGCACTGTTGAAAGCGTGTGTTCCCTTGAGACGTCGACGTTTTGTTACATTTTCAGAAAATTGGAGGTGTGCCCTGCTATCTGTCCTCCCAATGTAACTGTTTCTGCAGATAGATGTTAATTTGTGTACAAAGTCAGAGATAACTTGAGAAGTATTTGATTGGTTGATGGTGACTAGCAGTGGAATTCAGGATGCGCATTTCGTCCTATTTAGGACTCGTCATTTGGATGTACCTGCATTTCTCAGTGAGTGATGATGTTCCCACCGAGTCTCGAACCCAGTGCCCATAGTTTCAAACGCCAAAGCGTTATCCGCTAGACCACTTGGGCCACGAGAGCTACCTCTTGTGCAACTGGTCAAATTAATTTTATTGAATTTATGATTTTTCCCCCGACCACTTCGGTCCAATCAATCGACGGGAAAATCTCAAATTCAATAAAATTAACATGAGAAGAGTATCTGTGGTCTCTTGATTGCACCAAAGGGCATGTTTTCCAATGAACGGAAACCAACTTAGCTGCAGGATAGGCTCTGGCTAGTGACGTATCCAATTTTCTGTTGACTATTGCTGCAATATTTTCACCTTTAAGATCTAGTTGAATGAAGAAAGGCTTTTTCACCACTGTGATTTATTTGGCATTTGAGTCTTAACATCTTCCATACTTGTTAATGAATTTCTGAAGGTAGCCGTTATTTTTCAACACCTTTTCGAGAATCAGAATTTATTCCCTTAGTTTGTTTGTAGAACACATTCCCTGGCTCTATAGAACAGAATTTTTACCAGTGCTCGTTTATGGCTATTTCGACAAAAACTATTAAAACGTGAGTACTACACAGACTTATTCTGGCTTTATTCACTTTCATATAGGGAAATAAATGTTACTAATTTTTGTTGGCTCCATTTCCGAAGAGTCATTCTTTCAAGTTTAAGTGAAGGAAGAACTTAGTTTTCTATTTTGGTGATAAACAGAATGCTTAGTGAAAACCTGAAAGTATTATGTAAATTGCGATATGCTTCACCTCTCTTCTTTATTTTG